AACAAAAAATTAAATATGTCATTCCAATTGCTTTATAAATATGCCCCTGTGATTAATGATGAATTTTCCTACAAGTGGTTTTATTTGGTACACTTTTCTTTAAAAACAAATGAATTAGTCATTTACTGGCTCTGAACCTCAATGCAACTCCTAAACCGAAGCCTCAGCTTAACCCTGAAACAAATTAATGAATGCACTCAAATGCTAACATAAAAAATGGCTTTTTCATTTTTAAATAATGTATTAAGTTTTTTTTAATACCGTCATTGTATATGACAACTGCAGTATCAAACAGATGAATGCTACACTGCCACCTTGAGGCTGCAGTGGTATCTGCAGGCTGAAGGCTTATTTTGTCAATGAAGCCTTTCTTGTCCTGTTGTTATGGGACAGAAAGTGAGGTGAAATCCCTCCAATGGGGTCATGGACAGATATAGAAAGCTGGGTGAAGTCATAACTCTAGCCTATCCCCCCAAAAAAGGACTGGGGTAGGGCTTTAAGGGTTAAATATAGATGTTTGCTCAGGTTAAGTTCAGGGGTTAGGCTGAGGCTAGGGATTATGTTCAGGAGTTGCATCGAGGTTCAGAGTCACTAAATGACTAATGGGGTGTAAGTCTACCTCATGGTTAGGGCTGTATTTATACATCATGCTACCCTGGGCACACGGAAATGATGGCAGCCTTTTGTACAAGCTTGACCCTTTGAGTCCTGTGATGACCATTCTCTCCACGAATACACAGTGAATATAGGGGTGCCGCAGTGGTACCCCCTCAGGCGGTGGGCCTGTGATGTCCTGTATTTACAGCTATATTCTCAGTATTTCATGATGTTGGCCATCATTAAAACTAAAAGACTGAGGACATCTTGTGGTGAAAAAGGTGTACTGCAGGGGGGGGGCAGTTCCAGATTGAAGGTAAGTAACGTAGCTCGAGCTGCTGTTTTAGGGAAGATGGATCATACAAATCTCCCCACCCAGGTCTTAGCAACCTGGGACACTCTGGCCAGTGTCTCACCCAGTTCCTGGCAACCAGTGATGCCACTGATTGCCAGGAGTTGAGCAGGATGCCAGCCAGAGCGTCCCAGGCTGCTATGAACTGGGAAAGGCCATACACATATCCCCACCCAGCTCTTAGCAACCTAGGGATGCTCTGGCCGGTGTCCTACCCAGCTCCTGGCAATCAGTGACGTTACTGGTTGCTAGGAGCTAGGCAGGACACCAGGGGCGCAATTTATTGTAGATACGTCTCAGTTGGCAGAGCTATAAACGTCTCAGAACTGAATGGACAGAGATAAATATCCCTAAGCAAGTAAAATATCTCCCTATTATTTGCCGGGAGCTCAATATTAGAAAGACGAGGCTTAGCTGGTATAGTGATAGGGCTAAAATTATAATGAATGGCAGAGATTACTGCCATGCTTTCAGAATGTGCTTCCCTCAATGTGTCCCTTCTGCACAGCATGCCCCAGGACTACAGATGCAGCTTCGGTATGTCATATCCCTGCAGCAGTCAAGGAGTTAAGTGGTACACTGAAGCAGCGAAGGATTTGGGGATGTTGCAGATACCCGCAGGCCATTCGATTACTCATCCTCTAATGTCTCTATCTGTATTCACAGAGCACTTTAAACACACAGTGCAGCAAATCCACAGGATTCACCGGAGATACCTGTCCATACCAATCATAACTCCTGACCCTGTGTGATACCTTCTGGCTCTTTCACTGTAATGAGCAGCAAATTTGACTGCTGGCACGTGGAACGCCATTAGCGGCCCTGCTTATGTACAGCCTCGACGGATTCCAATATCTGCAAATTAGATTTCCTTCCCAAACAGCTTAGTTGTATTGATTTTATCAACGGTCATCAAGGAGCCATAAAAATGGGGCAGTGGGTGGTGCTGTTTTTGTGTGCACACTCTTTACCTGCGTAACAAGAGTTTGGGTCCATGTCTTTCAGGTGTACAGGAACTGAACACATAAAGGAGTATGATGCCCATTGTTCAGTTATACAGAGCGAAGAATATCTTTTCGTGGGGAATCTTTAAGGATGGAAATATGGAAAGTTCCATCTTTAAAAGACTCCGGTCATCCCGATGCCTGCTTTAATAATTAAAAGGTGAACTTCAGGCAAACAGATAAAAAGTCAGATGAAACACACATTTTTTTTAACCAACGAATGTGTATCTCTGTCCATCTAGCCCAGAGATTTCCGCAGCTCTACCACACAGCACAGCCCTGTCTGGCAGGTAAGGGGGCCTGATCTTTCTCTGTTGCAGGTTCACTTTCACTAACAGGTCTCCTTCTCACCCTCCTCCCCCCCATGACTAGATAGTGTAAGAGAAGCAGCACACTCTTTTTGGTATCAGCAAGAGGTTGTATACAGCTATGGGGTTCCAAAATTACAGGCTGCACACATGACCCAGGTCAGAGACTCACTAAGTAATGAAAGAAGGATAAAGATGACAGACCCAGTACTTTTACCAACAATTTGGCAATGGCAGCCACTGGCCCAATATTGAATAAACACAGATATACACTGAGTGGCCAGATTATTATGACCACCCCATCAGCGCCACGAGATGACTTCGTTGGGCCACCTCGTGCCTCCACGAGATGTTGAAAGGTGATGCAAGGAATCTGACACTGCACTGTTGCCCTTCTGTTGTCTTGTACCAGTCTTGCCACTCTCCGTTCTGCCCTAACATTGACTAGTCGCTGACGGCCACAATTCGCACGTTCAGACCCAGATTTTCCGCTGACTGTCCAGTCTTTAAACACAGCTGCTCTTGAACATTTAACAAATTCTGCTGTTTTGCTGATACTCGCTCCATGGCTCCGGGCGCCAACAATCATCCCACGTTCAAAGGCTGTTAAATCGCGTTGTTTACCCATATCTTCAGAAGAAAATCACTTTTACTGTCGTGGTAAACAACCTGCTTCCCTATTTATAATGGTCTGGCCCTCTAGCAACTTCAGTGCAAAAGTATAGCTAATTATAGCTAATTTGCCTATGCCTCCACGAGATGTTGAAAGGTGATGCAAGGAATCTGACACTGCACTGTTGCCCTTCTGTTGTCTTGTACCAGTCTTGCCACTCTCCGTTCTGCCCTAACATTGACTAGTCGCTGACGGCCACAATTCGCACGTTCAGACCCAGATTTTCCGCTGACTGTCCAGTCTTTAAACACAGCTGCTCTTGAACATTTAACAAATTCTGCTGTTTTGCTGATACTCGCTCCATGGCTCCGGGCGCCAACAATCATCCCACGTTCAAAGGCTGTTAAATCGCGTTGTTTACCCATATCTTCAGAAGAAAATCACTTTTACTGTCGTGGTAAACAACCTGCTTCCCTATTTATAATGGTCTGGCCCTCTAGCAACTTCAGTGCAAAAGTATAGCTAATTATAGCTAATTTGCCTACACACGTCAGGTGGTCATAATAATCTGGCCACTCAGTGTACGTAGACTATGGCATGCCTACCTATGGATTTTTTTTTCTTGTGAAATTCCTTGAAATTCCTCGATGTGTAAAGTCCAGTTACTGGAAACCTGGCGTTCTGGTAACACCTAATTCTGAGCCTGAGGTTCTGCAATCCAAAGATTCTCAACTCTACCCATCAAATGTCTCCTACAGTCTACTTACTGTATGCACAGCCCTGATCATCAGAACAACTTTACTCACAGCCTGCTCTGTCTACACTGTTAAGATACAGGACGTATTACATACAATGAGTTGTATGGAGAGAGGTTGCTTAGAACAATCTATCTGACAAGAGGCTACAGTGCTGAAAACTGTACTCAATGTTATGGGGCATATATGCTAATAATTGGAAAGACATAATCTGGAATTAACAGGCCAAGCTTGGAATTAAGCAGTGTTGGCATTTCCCCCGAGGGCCTGGTCTTTCTTAGTGCATTCACAAGAAGTACAAGTTACTGTAGCCTGCTGAATCTCATTCAGCCCTGTTATATGCATGTAAATGCATAACTCCGGAACCAAAGAACAATAAGTCTATTAGTCACTGGAAAAGATCATACACTCCCTTCTTGACCAATTTTATAGCCTTCGGAGGAAAAAAAATACTCTAATCTTGCATCATCAAACCCCGCTTGCATACATAGGCTAGCAACAGAATGAAAAGATGGCTGACACTGAAATCTGGTGTCACTGGCCCACCACCAGGGTTGATGGTTCAGATTTCTTAAGTGGTATCACCAAGCCACACGGTAGAGTGAAAGGTCTACCTTAGCTACCACAACCCCAGATACCATTATTCAAACAAGACCTGGGAGGTAGCCCTGTCACCCCTTTACTTGAGATACATGTCCCATGACCAGATTTTGTCATTGGTGGACCCTAGGAAATGCTCCCCACTGCACCCCCCCTAATTGGTCTCTATTGAGGCTTTCACTTGCCTTCCCACCACTGCAGGTCTCTCCCCTTCTGCTCCCCACGGGGACCATTGTGGTATGGTGCAGCAGCATTCACTGAAGGAATCCCTGTAGTCTGCAACAGGAACAGGTAGTGTAGACAACTGAGGGCTACAGTGGCCATTTTAGGACAGCCTGCACCTCATTTTTTTTCCTTTGTGAGCCCTTAAAATTCTTTGGGGCCTATGCACAGTGCCTACTACAAAACCCAATTCTGCAAGTACCACACAGCACCAAAGGAAGCCTTGCTCCTGATCAGGGATGAAAAAAGCGCATTTGGAAAATTTGACTCCAATTATTTGGGTACTTCTGCAAAGTTTGCTATTCATTCCACACCACCCTTTACCTAAGCTGAAGTTAACCTTTCATGTATGTTTGCTTTTCCCATGCTCAGAGCTCCACTTTAAAGCTGCCCTCCCTACAGCAACACCAATCTGGAATATAAACCGTGTCACTGACCAAGTGCTGTCAGACATTTTAATACTGGTCAGTCAACCTTTTACGTCTGGGCTGTGACATGCAAAAGCAAAGCAAAACATGCAGCCATAAGGGATTAAACTTTGGCACTTACCCCCAGCAGCTCATTATGACCCAGCAGCGCTCATTCTCAAGCGGTAAACTCTTAGTTCCTCTGCAAGTGGTACCCACAGCAGCATCAGCCTCCTCCTAAAATCTCATCTCAGCTCGGCAGCAGCTGGCGTCTGCAGGAGGAGACTGCAACCCAGATGAGATGGGAAAAATATGCCAGCTTGTGTATGTGTGAGGGAGGGGCGGGATGTCTGTGGGGACAGATTTAACCCGAGCTTTGTTTCTGCGATCTCAGATTGTTAAATCACTTTCCAGCATCTTAATGGGGATGTCCACTCCCCTAGGAAGAGACGGAGAAATCCGACCACTAGTCGTAGTGATGGAAGACTGCAAGCATCAGAGTGCTGGGTCCAGGGATGTGTCTACGCTCGCCAATAATGAAGTACTGAACATTTAGCCTACAAGCCCCGGAGTGCAGAGCAGAACATTAGGTTGTCATATCTTTGTATTCCCGCTGGGAGGTGCGCACATTTCTCTCTCGAAGTCGTTCCTGGTCTGGCTTTTATTCATTCTTAATGTCGGAAGCTTAATTAAACCGTCCCCAGCGAGAAAGCGAACATGATGTATCTATTGCATCCAGGTTGCAGATTAATGCAGTTATGACAGATTCCCGGAGGGTGCATTGAGAGTTGTGTGCGGTTATAATTCTTACAAAATGAGAAGGGATCTTATAGTTTTTCTTTTTAAAGGTGAAGCCCCCCCAAAAGTGATATTATGGTTAGAGGTGGAATCTGGCGGACTGAGTCAGCTTCTGGCTTCTTATATGTCTTGACTATTTCAGAAGTGAGATCTTACCTGACCCTCCAGCTGAGCATTTTGGTGTTTTTCCTCCTGTTCCATTTTTCATAATATTAAATAAATAAAAACCCAACAGGGAGAGTGGGAACCCCTTATAATGGCCATAGCATGGGAAGTGAGGTTTAACTTTGATAAATGTAAAGTTAGGCACCTGGGGGCTAAAACAGGCATGCTAAATACAATCTAGAGAGGCTACATGTGGGTGAGTCAGTGATGGAAAGGGATCAGGGTGTTCTGGTAGATGAAGACTATATAACAGAGAAGCCATTTTTAACCAGGGAGCTGTAAAACCTGAGGGTTGCTCTAGAGGATGGGAGGTCAATGAGCCATTGAGATATGGCTCATTGACCTCCCATCTGATGGTGCCAAGATGGTTCTGTGTCCAATGACATTTGGCAGAGCCATTAGCATGACACCAATGATGTTTATTTAGTTGCGGGTAAGGGTGGCATTGTGACCATTTCTGTAAGTGGGGCATTCTTCCCACTGACCACCAATGTAAGGGGCATTCTTCCCACTGGCCATCAAAGTAAGTGGCATTCTATCATTTAGCGGGAGACTCCCGAAACGTCCATGAGAGTTGGGATGTCTGACCTCACCAAGGGAGCCCCCAAGAGATAGAATACACTGACGGCGTCCGCTGTCACAATAAAAACAAAAAGATAGCAGGGGAATCAGCAGATAGCAGGGGATTCTGCACAGGTTTACTCTGCTAGCGGAGTAAACCTTTTTGGGATAAAATGTTTCTCTTGAGGGCGTCATGGAGCCGATATCATATAGTGGGAGACTCCCGGAACGTCCAGGAAAGTTGGGATGTCTGATCTCACCAAGAGAGCCCCCAAGAGATAGAAGACACTGACAGGGGGTTTTATTCTCCAGCATACTGCTTGTTTTGTTCATATACAAGAAAGTTACTTTTTAGAGAGTGTCATATGATGGATTAGCCCATCTTTAACCACTGTAATATTCAGGGAGGATATGACCCGTAGACAGCCGTATCAGACAATAAACTTTTATTCATTCCCACAAACAGTCAAAGTAAATGGCTTATATTCAGCAAACACAAGACTTCGGCTCAGCGCCTGTATACTAAGTCCCACTTCAGGGTTAGAGTCCCAGCCTCAGGGTTAGAGTCCCAGCCTGCGCACAGAGGGTTCCAGTATGGACGCAGGTGCCCCAGCAGTGTCTCGGCACACTGTATTCCACAGCTTAACACGCATAGCCATGTGTCCTGTTCCAAACACTCCACACAGCCAGACTGACTGGCTTCCTGTTCCTTTTTAACACACCCTCTGGCTGGTGGTTTAACCCTTTCATTACCAGAACTGGCTGTAGTCAGGGATGGAGGCTCTGAATACAAGGTGACTTTAACGGGACCACCACCTAAACAAGGGAGGGATATACTGTCGACCCATTCCTGGTGTCCTGTACACCACTTTTATGATGGCAAATACCCACAGGAAGATTTGCTGCATTTATAAATCGCATTTGCTAGCCCGCATTCGCCCCCCATCAGGTATCTTTCACCTAACATCAGGTATTCCCCCTGCTTCCAAGGAAAATACATGTCATGTAACCATAGCTATACAGTATTTATGTTTCGACCAGAGTAAGATCTGCCGTCCTGAATGCTTTTAAAAACATCTCCTTTTTCAAATGGTAAACCATTGATTTTACCAACGATTGATCATTGATTCCTAGGGGATATCCGCTGTGCTCGATTCTGCTTGCGCAACACATTTGATACCCTACACATGGGACCTTCAGCCTAAAATCTTCTTTTACATAAAACAGCATTCCTCAATGGAGCGTCCTTTGATCTGCAAAAAAAGCTTTTATTCTTAAGTAAAAAATGTTCCCATTCAACCCCATGTTGCCCTAGTCTATACAGGTATGGAAGCTAAAGGAAATCTATTGTTGGGTTGAAGTGTATGTGAAACCAAAGCTTTTGTTTTTAGTTTTGTATAGAATGAGGAAGAGTTAAAACTACTATCAAGCTTTTTTTTTTTGTCTGTGTCTTGCTGTGAAGATTTGTCTTTACTTCCTGTACTGGTGACTGTTAGCAGCATGTCTACTGACTAGACATGTAACCTGTGGAAAAATTTGGTTCAGATATTTCGTTATTTCGGAATTCGTATACGAAGTTCAATTCGGTTCGGGCTTCGGATTCGGACGAAATCCGAATTTTCGTTAGTTTCGGATGAGTTTACGAATATTTGTTGCGACTACAACAGAAAACCATCTACAGATATTAATACTAAAGCTGGATCTCCTAGGCCGGAATGGCATTCGGGATGTGAAATTCTGAATTGCATTTGGGAGATCCCGAATGCCAATCGGGTCTGGGAGCCTCAGCTTTAGTAATATATGTAAATGGCTCCCAGACCCAAATGGCATTCGGGTTCAGAATTTCTGAATTGCATTCGGGAGCTCCCGAATGCCTTTTCGGGTCCTGGAGCAATATACATATATTTTTAAAGATGAGGCTCCCAGACCCGAATGGCATTTGGGATCCAAATTCCCGAATTGCATTTGCTAATTCGGATCCCGAATGCCATTTGGGTCTAGGAGCCTCAGCTTTAGTATTGTGCCTACTGTATTTGGCTTCCATGTTGCCATAATGAAAATTCGTATTCAGACCTATTCGGATGCATTAAACTGAAAAACACATCTGATTGGCCAGAAAAGTCACATGTCCGATTCAGTTTAGTTTTTTAATAAAATTCGGGCAGGATCCGAATTTCGGAAACCGAAATTCTGATTTGGACACATTCAGATGCATTGGGATTCGGATATGTCCAAATTTGGGAAAATTCGTCCGAATGTTGATTCGGAACGAAAGGAATCGCACATGTCTACTAGTGACCCTTTGCTTGTTACAACCTCCCAGCTCCTCCTGGTGGTTGCTTGTTGGCACTGCACTTATCCCAGCCTTCCTGTCAGTTCTGGATTAATGAATTCTGTCTCTGTGTTTCTTGCTGCCTGCAGCACTAATCTAGTTAGCTGTGGCCTAATGAATCTGTTCACACATCTCCAGCTCTGGGATTGGCCTTGTCAATGGTGGCGCCCTATTTAAGCATCATAAACCTGTTCCTCAGTGCTAGTGTTTCCTGGCTGATCAACTGCGCTCCTGCTTGTTTTGATACCAAACTGACCTTGCCTAAATTTTTGGGATTTTCGCTCGTCTGCTACCTGCCCTTACCTTTTGCTACGATTACTGGATACTCCTTTGTCTGCCGCCGGCCCCGACCTTTCCTTATTGCACGCTGGATTCCTCTTCTTCTACAGCTCTCACCTTCCACTGTCGTACTCTACATTTACTCTGAGGGTTTGTAGTGATATCCACGGCCAGGGTATATAGTTTGGGGGGGTTATTCACTAAAGAGCCAAAGGATCCAGCTGTAGCTTTGGCTGATCCTTCGGCTCTCTTCGGCCGCCGGAGCCCTTCGGTTCCGTCGAACCGAAGGGCTGCTGTACGAGCTATTCACTATAGCCCATACAGCCGAGCTGAAGGCATATGCTTCGGCTCGACTGAGCCGAAGTGACAGCCGAAGTGGGGCGAACAGCCTACCGAAGGCCGGACGTTTGCCCCCGCAAATGACAGCTAGACAGAGCCAGCCGTGATCTCCCGGCTGGCTCCACCCAGTTGTAATGACAGATCAGCGTCCCCAAATGACCTGATGTACGGCTGATTTCAGCCGATGTACGGCTGAAATCAGCCATACTGAGCCAGAGTGAAAAGTCAAACGTCGTTCGGCTCTATTTTCTTCGGCTCGGTTATTCACTCCGCTGCCGAATAACCCTTTAAGTCCTGGGTGCATCCAAATACCAGTAGGCACACAAAGGCAGCTGTTTCCCCGCTGACCACTGTGGTCTCTTCCACTGGCCCCTACATTACTACAAGACACAGTAGACAACGTAGTGGTCAGCAGAAGGAACCACAGGCACCCTACACTCCTGTGGTTCCTTCTGCTTAATGTGTAGATTCTTCAGGCAGATGTAGCTTTTGAACCCAGCAAAGAACAAGGGAACCATATAAACCCAAGTGGTGCTTTGTGGCATTTTTTTAAAACCAGGCACCTCACATTGTAGCGACAGTCACTTGAAGTGATTTAATAGCCAGGTTATATGGGCTTCCATTGACAATACTTGGAGGGGCTGAATGCAGGTACCAGCTGCCATTCTTAGGTAGCTCTGTCTGCTGGGATTCGTCCAGCCTTGGCCATTCATACTATTTACAAATTGTGTGACAGTTTGCCATTGGGTCATAGACGGCACACCCTTTGGCTGATAATACTCTGGTGCACTCAGCAGCAATTCATTTGCAGAGATTAGCCGTAAATCTTCTCCCTTGGCTTAGCATTTCATTTGCATTAACCCTTTGGCAGCTGTCTGGATCATCGGGAAATAACTTTACAATGAGCTACAGAGCAGTAGCGGAGATAAGAGATTAGAGGAAGACCAGCTGCTATCCTGCACTCCATGCCTGGATCTCCTTGAGCATTAATGCACAGCCCTGTACACATAATACACTCTCTATTTTTATAGCATTGCCACAAGGGAGCCCAATGCGGAGGAATGGGGCTAAATTTATC